GGATTAGGTCGTTCCCAGAGTATACACTGGCGCTGCCGAAATAGTAACTGTAATCCGGGTCAGATAGACCCCCCGACAATGAACAAAGCACCATACCCTCCTCCATGTATCCATACCACGACAGGTAAGTTTTTGCGAGGGTCGAGCTGCCCGGGAACATGCACGCTGAGAACTGATAAATAACAGCTATAATAGACATCAGAACATGTCTATGACTCACTTCAAGAAGAGACAATCTTCAGAATTTGGAACAGCAGAGCTGTCCCTTTTGTTGACAGGAAAAGGATTGCTCGAAGCTATGCCCTGATAGCATTCGGAGGGTTCTGCAGTAGCGTTCTGTATGCCCGCAACGAAGTCCGGTGTTTGGGGCGCTTGCCACCTCAAAGAGCCTAAACAGAGGTAACCTGGGATAGTCGCTACACAAGCAGAGCCCTCAAATCACGTACCAGTAGGGGGCGCCGCGAGTCGTATCCCAAGAAATTGAGTGTTGTTAGATCCAGAGGGATCCAATGATCCTCGATATCTGGCGTATCCAAGGTCAACGACCGGAGTCGAATGTGCTCCACAGGGTTGGAGAACTGAGGTAAGCATGAGGAAAATAGCCGGAAATAGCATTATGGTGGTAGTTGGGACGATGAGGTGTTCTGTGCTAGTATTTGACTATATATGCAGAGCAGATCCCAGAGCGATAAGTCATGCTGTCTGCATACTGACAAGGATCTTTGAAGCCTCTGTCATTCTCGGTCCAAAGTAGGAGTTCTAGCTATTCATATAAGCCCTTGGCAGATATATGTTGTAGGTAAAACTCTACAGCTTCACCACAGCCTCTGATCTAGTGTTCCCGCGACTCAGCTAGACTAGAGGTCTCCGGTGTGGGCCATTGCTGCACATGGGAGGTCCGAGTCCTGTGTCTTTGATGAGTACAACCAGCACATCCTGTTCGAAAAAGACTCGCCCGGTGGGAGCCTTCGGCCGCCACCAGCTCACATTTTCTCACTCAGCCTTATATTTACAAAAACCATATCCAAGTTAGTTTCAAACATATCTAGACAAGCAAAACTTTGGCAAAGACTGGCATGAGAATAATAGGGCTTCTAAGAGTATAGCATAACTAATCCAGCAATGGACATGCATATAATTCAGGGTGAGACAAGGACCATCAAGTGTGCGAAGCAAAGCCAGGCAGAGATCACTGTAGACTCGGCAACAGCAGCCAGGAAAAGTTCACACGAGTAAGCGAAGGTAGGTAAGCTCGGCAATGGCCGTCACGAATAGAATTACTAGTTCCAAAAAGGAAATGGTTGAATCGTTGTCACGTCAACTAGCAAGTTGAAACTGGATTGCTTTTCGCTACTGTTAAGCTTTCAGTCAAGCAGACCACTAACACCAACTCAAAATCTACGTTTTTTCTTGAGACTGCTTGCCCTGGACTATGGTGCCTGAACTGGGGAACCGATACTGGCTCTGAGTCGCTCTTTGCAGTACTAAGTCAAGTCGTCCGCTTTGTACCGAAACCGGCCTTTCGAGAGTGATTAGCTGCTCACGAACTCTTATCATCTTGTTCACTTGGCCCGGCGGTCTTTTTGTCCAAAAGTCGGTCAAGACAAGCTTATCTACTGACATCTTTGTTTTCTCATCTGGTCACTGCCCCGTATCATCTTGTTCACCTGTCTGCGCTCTACACGCTGGCTTCACTGTAGAGAACTTTTTGTTTCTCGTTTCTGCATCTGACCTTGAGTACAGCCATGACTTGTTTACTTTCAGGATACTGAGATGTCGTAGGGTTTGTTGGGTTTGCGGCGCATAATGGGGATTTATTCGATCGCAGCAAAGCACAGAGGTTGAAGTATATCAACCTGCATCTGGAAGTTGCGATAGTGATTAGGCTTGCAAATTGCTGCTGGCGTCTCTACCCTAGCTTGTGATCATGAATTCGAGTACTTTTACAGCAGCTTACTGGCGCTTGCTTTAGGATTGGGCTGGTGTGGGATATCTTTGCCAACAAATGGCTTCATCCAAAAAGCACAAGTCGAAGCTTTCATGGTTCGCTACCAAGCTGGAAAGGGCAAAACAAGGTCACATGTTTTTCGCGATGGCGGGCAAACTTGTGTAAATTATGTCTTTGCTCTATATAACTCTCAGCTCTGCCACATTTTAACCTTACAACACCACTGCAACCTGCATTCATTGTACTTATCGCCAGACTTTTGTTGCGCACTCGCAGTCTTTTATTCATTATCTCCTCTCTTACTGTCTCCATGTCGGGTCCACCGCCTCCGCAGATACCTCAGGACGGCCACACAGCTCTCCACCACCTACCACATCCAGTGAACGCGAATGACGCGCCTTTTCAACAGTACCAATTCCAGACCGATGCTCCCCAGCCTTACTATACCCAGCAGCAAAGCAGCAGACACTACACGGATGATCAGTGGAGTTCTCCTTACGTTCATTACCCCCAATTCGATACTCCTTCGAACGCGCACCAACAGTTATTACAGACCGCTACTACTGCAGTGGACCCCCGATACGCCGCACCCACTCACTTCCGAACTCCTCAATACATTTCCCAACCACAGCAGTCTATGCAGCCATACCCCGCCTACGGATTTCAAGGCCAACTTCCACAATCCAATTGGCAAGGCCCACCTTATTCTCAGCAGCAAATGTCCCACCCTGGCATCCCCCAGATGGACAATGCTCCTCCCAACTTCCCTTATAGGGTGCCCCAGCAGTTCCTTGGTGCGTCCGATTACGCGATGGTACCTGGCGGCGATACTTCGACCGAGGCGAGGATTGGCAGACAGGATCTGTATGGTGGTCTCTCGGCTAAGGCCGCTGGTAAACGAAAGGCCGTCGACGACGACGACGACGACGACGACAGCAGGTTCGGCGAACCGTCTTCGCAGACAGTGAAGCGCGCCAGGTACAATGCGGGTAATCAACAAATGTACATGCCTCCGCCGCCTGTCCCCTACCCTGGATTCAACGCGACTGGTGTACGTATCTGGTGCTTTTCAAAGTATTCTGTTTTATGTCTTTCCTAGCGTACGCGCATGACATCCGCCGCCGCCGGGCTATCCGGTGGTCAATCATTTATGGTTAGCTTTTGACGCTCATTTTTGTCATCACCACTCATTGTATTTTAGATGACGGGGATGCAATTCAATGCAGGGGACCAGTTCGAAGCATCAGGAGCGCAGTCCAGCCAATATATGTAAGATGTCATGCGCTGTATTGTTGTACCCATCTGATCATCGACTGGACAGGTCCTTGCCTCAAAATAGAGGCAGCACTTCGTTTTCACAGGTTCCGCAGGGCTACTATAACCAAAATGGTGCACTCCCTCAAGCCTGGAATGTGGTAAGCTTCGTTCTGCTCCTGACTTTGCTGACACTCATTCGTCGTTTCCAGCCTTATGGAACGAATGGTTCATCGCAAATAGTGCACCCGTATTCTCAAGACCCGTAAGTTTTCTTTCTAATTAAATTTCCAACTAGGTCCTCATTAGCAATATCAGGTCAGTCGTTGATCGATACAGAGATCGAGGACAACACAAGCTGGCATTCAACAATAGGCCAACGGGTTCTATGACAGCGAGGTTGTTGTGGAGACAATCTCTCCTTAAATATGTACACAGAGCTGGCGGCAAAATGAACCCTTACCACAGATGGTTCATTGCCAACGGATCGGAGATCATGCTTCTCGTGAGTTTACACACACAACGCCCAGGCGCCTTATATTCCACTGGCGCTGTGTCCACTCACGTTCCCTCCTTCACATTGAGAGAGGTCCTCAACGAAGATGAGAAGAGGGTTGTTTATCGCCGGGTACTTACCATTTTGGCAACGGTGCTCGCCAAGCATGAGAGGACCGTCGCTTCAAATCACTCCATGGGAGGGGTGTCGTATATGCAGAACGGCTCGAACGGCTTCCAGCGATCGGCGGACAACTTTGCCGGGCCTTCTAGACATTCCCTTCCTACTCCTGCGCGCACTCCGGTTCAGCCAGATGCCGCGATACATGCGCCGGCTCCGGCTCCGGTCATTACAGCTGAAAACACGGGTACGGTTGGCACTCTACCCGTCAACAACGCTTCGCCGACTCCTCTTGCGCAGCCTGAAAGCCCGGGGATTCGAAACGAAGACTCAGGCGAAGATGGGCCTGAGCTTCCTCCATGTCCCACTTCCCCCATCGATCGTCCCCCCACTCCACTCGTAGATGAAAATCCGGCTGACACCGCGGACAACCAGGTGAAAACGGAGGAGCAAAAAAGTGGCGGCACTTCGGAGAGGCCTCATAGTGCCGTGATCACGGACATGCCATGGTTTAAGGAACATTTTGCATCGGTGCATCAAGAGCAGCGAGTAGCGTCCACTTCGACGACTTCCGCGGGAGATCACTGTACCACTGACGATGATGGAGCGGCCGACGACTTGGAATATGACTGCGTCTTCAACGAGTTTATGGTAAACGACGAGGACGAGGACGAGAATGCTGATGATAAATGTCTGTTTGGGTCGCCGTTGTTGTCGCAGAAGGATGCAGATGAAGATGGGTCGTCATCGTTGCCAAAGGAGGATGCCGATGATGCAGAATTTAAGGGTTTAAGTTGATTTATCCAAAGTTATGTTGCTATCGTATCATTTTGTTGTTACATATCTGTTATCTCTATTCAGTGTCCGCTAATATATGCCATATAATAACGTGTGTCTTGTTCGAATGACCAGCACGTTCATACAGCAACTGAATCTCGGAACTGAACGGTGCAGTGAAACAAGGATACTTGAAGTTCAAGGTATCGCCATCATAGGATCACATCCATCGCTCTTGTGGTTCCATGGCTTCATCTCTTGCCTTTTTTCTTTGTGGTATGGGCTTATATATGTGGCTCTAATCTCCATCAATTGCTTTTCAAACAGAGTTGTATTACTGCGAACAAATGTCCTGATACATTTAAAGTTTGCATGTCATATAACAGCTATTTCCTACCATGTTATGGGGGAATAGCTCAGCTGGGAGAGCAGTAGACTGAAGTCAATTTCCTGATTAGGAAATTGTATTCTAAAGGTCCCCGGTTCGATCCCGGGTTTCCCCACATATTTTGCTTCCAGTCGTTATTTTTTGTTTGTGCAATGCGTTAAAAAACAAGCGAAAGACTGAAGAAAATAGGGAGAAGAGCCGTGACGAATTGTGACTGATCAGTCATGGACGTGACTCACAATGGCATCATCGTCACGCTCTCCCCTTAGTGCGGGGTAAACGATTTGCACTTGAACATGGTTGTCCTTTCGCTAAAATCTCTTCTCTCATGGCCTGCCCGTCGGGTTATTTGGCCTGCTGGCGCACGTATTTCAAGACGATTCGTATCCTCATACTACAACACGGATGTAGCTGGCTTGAGCGATGACGAGGCAGAGGTGCGCTGTGATTTGTATCTTTGATGTAACCGGAACACATACCTTCTTTAGTTCAGGTCTGCTGTAACTGAATTCGCACAGAAAGAAATTGCCCCGCGTGCTGCAGAAATTGATAAATCCAATAAGTTTCCTATCGTACGATGCACTTGTATGGAACTTGAATTCCAACTGATCTGTGGTCCAGGAACTATTCCCTGCTCTCGGATCTATGGGACTTCTTGGTATCACGGTCACACCACAGTACTCTGGTCTTGGACTGGGATATATGCACCATCTCCTGGCTATGGAGGCGTTATCCGAGGCTTCCGGCAGCGTTGCTCTGTCCTACGGTGCTCATTCTAACCTCTGTGTAAACCAGATTCATCGGTGGGGAACAGACGCGCAAAAGGTCAGTATTCTACTTGCAAATTTGCCTTAATTGACCGTTTCTCTAGGAGAAATATCTTCCGGACTTGATCACAGGCGTAAAGGTTGGTTCCTTGGCGATGAGCGAGACAGGTAGTGGAAGCGATGTTGTCAGCATGCGACTCAAAGCGGAGAAAGTGTCTGGAGGGTACAAACTGAATGGCAATAAGTTTTGGTCAGTTTCTATGAGTCAATTCAACGCTCTGGACTGTAACGATGTCTAGGATCACCAACGGTCCTGTTGCATCCACTTTTGTTGTCTATGCCAAGTCTGTCCCTCTCGATGATCCTAATCCCTCAAAGGGAATTACTGCCTTTATTGTTGAGCGTAACTCTGAAGGTTTCTCTACTGGCGAGAAACTAGACAAGTTTGGAATGAGAGGGAGCGACACCTGTGAACTAATTTTCGAGAACTGTTTTGTACCAGAAGGTTGGTAGGTGCCTATTTGTGCGCTCCGACTTTTAATTTACCATGCTGCGCAGAAAACGTGCTCGGGGAGGTCAACAGGGGCGCCAAAGTCTTGATGTCGGGCCTGGACCTCGAGAGGCTTGTCTTGAGTGGAGGGCCACTTGGGTCTGTACCAACTGCCTGGCCCCCGCTCTGAACTCAACTCTACTACAGTCTCATGCAGGCCGCATTCGACTACGCAGTCGAGTATGTTCATGAGCGGAAGCAATTTGGGCAACCTATAGGAGAGTTTCAGCTAATGCAAGGCAGGGTCTATTTCATTTGTTTCTGGTATTCAATTGATATTCTTCGTTCCCAGGAAAGATAGCAGACATGTATACTAAACTCAATGCTAGCCGGGCCTATGTCTATGCCGTGGCAAAGGCATGCGACGCTGGAAAGGTCAGCAGATCGGTAAGTACTAAGACCTGCTGAATGTTCTGCCCCGAAAATTTCGCACGTCTTCGATGGCAGTTGCACATGCCGTTGCATGCTCTTCATCTTGCACACTGAATTGAGCAATCGGTTTCAATCCATCCGGAGGCTCCTATGATAGCTCTCGTGGATGCCCCCTTTTCTAGAGCTAGAACGTTTTTCCACCACATCTGACTTAATATTTTCTATAGGACTGTGCCGGAGCTATTCTGTACTCTACTGAGAAGGCCGTTGAAGTTGCGCTCGAGGGCATGCAGTGTCTTGGTGGGAACGGTTATGTCAATGGTGTGTACCTCTGCGTGCGACAATCGCAGTCTCGCCCTGATCGTACAGGCACTTGATTGACAAATCCTTTAGATTACCCTATGGGACGGATTCTACGTGATTCGAGACTTTACACTGTTGGCGCCGGTACCCAGGAAATCCGACGCATGCTCATAGGCCGGGAATTCAATGCTCAGTTCGCCAAGTCGAGGTCTTAGTTTTTTCTCCCTTCTCCGAGTGGTCGGATGCATTGTTAGTGGACGTAGGCGGACGTGTACAACATTATCATGAGAAATATCCCGTTTGCGATCTTTGATCAGCTCAAAATTGTCAAAAAATAGGATAACTTCAAAAATTAGGGGTAATTTTGCTACGGACTACTTTTCGTTGTTACTACCATGACCTCCACCTCTGCCGACGATTTTTTCAGCTCTCCAGCCAGTTTTTCTTTCGCAAACACCTCCACGCGCCAGCGGACACAGCAAGCTTGCGATAAGTGTAGGGAACGGAAAACCAAGGTCAATCGATTGCTCTAAATTGGGCTTGTGATCATCTAACCCTTGATGTTGTAGTGTTCCGGCGAAAAGCCGGTCTGCAAACGTTGCACCACCCGCGGCCTGATCTGCCAGTACACGAGCAGGGAAACTCGTGCACGTGGAAACGTGTCTACTCCAAAACTACGGAGCGCAGTGTCTAGCATTGATTTGCGTGGTTCCAAGATACACCAGGAGAAGCAGAGAGAAAGGGAATATCACCACTTTCTACGACAGCAGAGTCACAATCTGATCTCCTACGATCTTTCGGCGCCTCCTTCCGTGCAGTTCCCTCCACAACCATTCCAGCTTACGAGCCAGCCACTTCAACAATATGCCCCATACCAGTCCCATTCCCAGCCAGCTTCTCTGTCCGGTTCACCAGTAATTGATTCTTTCCCACAATCGCAGCTTCAGCTACCTCCCCTTCCGCCGTATTCCAACGGCAGTCAGCCTTTGGACTCGCTGCAAATCAGCAATGGTCAGTGTCATTCCATTCGGAGGGCTCAAAGCCAGTCTTCACTTCCCTATAACGTCGAGGAACCGCCACATCCTTCGCAGGTATTCTCACGATATGGATACTATCAGCCACCAGGCTCAATCATGCTGCCTCAGCATCACCACAATCACCACCGCAGCCTGGATGCTATCTATAACACCTCTCAGCTCATGCCTACATACGGCTTCCAAAACCTAAGTCTCGGCGATGCATACCCGCCACAGCTTGCCCTCGCCACGTCCGGCTCCTCTTCATCGTCTTTCTCTGGGTCGACGGATACATCACCGATGTCAACCTGCGAATCAGATCACGGTTCGACGCCTTTGACACCGTCACCGATGATACACACGCCGACGCCGTTAGCATTCCAGAATGTGCGGCTGTTGGAGGAGAGGAAGTTCATGGAGCTGGAGACTGTGAAGATAGAGGAAGAGCCACGGTGGTGACCAGGGTAGGGCGGGTCGGGTTTGAATAGAGCTGGAATCATTCAGTGTTCGGGATATAGGTAGGGATGCATAGATTAGAACTTTATAATTCGACAAACAAGCTACTAACGTTACTGTATTACATCGATACTTTATTGACTTTATCAGCGACTGAAGCTATGATTGGGAGGTAACAGGAAAGAATTACAGTGAGACCTACAGAGATTTCACTGGTTTTCTGGCGGTAGAACGGGTGAAGCAGGGATTACAGAAAGCGGACTTCCTCAACAGCATTCAACTACAAAAATATAATTTTCTGCAGCCCCGCAGAGGGTCTTCTTTGTCTTGTAGCGAATTTTCGGGCCATCCATTATTAAGTTGTTACTATTTTTGTATCCTTTTGCCACGAAGTGGTAATTACAAGAGCAACAGGAGCTTGCTTGCGAGTGACGGATTCGACGCTTGTTTGGGCCACTCAGCAGTTGCGTGAAGGAAAAAGTAGAAATTTGACTCATATTTTGGGGAAGTCGAATACAGAAGTGATGGCATCTCATACAAAATATACTCAGGCTAATTAACAGTAATCTACTGGTACGAGATTCGTAAGCTTTGCATAGAATGTTGCTTGTCATCTGGGCCACCAGGACACCGCCAGAAATGGGAGAACAGGGAGGTGCGGAAAGCTCAGTCGATCATACGGGAGGTCGAGGGAAGGCGGAAGAAGACAGAGGAAAGGATGCCGTTGCGGCATGTGTTGAGTTTATAATTCCCCCGCAGGTCACCCAGAAGTAAATAAGTATCGCAGTACTCGGATGCATAATATTTGAGTATCCTACGCACAACCACACATGCTCAGAGCCCAGCGCTCAGTAATCAGTAGGAAAAAAGGTTCTTGCTCTTTCCTGAACCGAATATCGATAGCTTCAACCTAAAAACTTCGAAGATCAGTCGTATGGTCCTTTGCTTACCCGGGAAGACTCACTCATCGTATTTAAATTATTTCTTCTTGGTCCACATGATATCTACGCGCGCGTTGAAGATTTCTCCGGGCCGAATCCGATTACTACGTTCAAAAAGGGTCTTTGGCGTGGCGACGACGCGCTCTTCTTCGGCACTGAAGTCAAAGCTCTTAATATATAATGATAGGGTCGTGGTATCGATGTCCTGCATGTCTACTCCAAAGGTGAGTCTTAATTTCTTTGAGGTAATCGACTATTACTAGTCGTATTTCGTTGATCAGAATATGATCATCGTTTGGTCGTGATCGCGTTGTACCACAAGCGATAATGCATCTATTTTCAGCTGTGTTGGCATGTCTTCAAATCGCGCCTTATAATCCGGGGAAATGGGGTACACCATATAAAATTGTAAATGACAGTCAGCAGTCGCAGTACACATACTTGTGGAGCTTGAGCTATTTCGCATAGTCTCTTTGTCATTCAAGTTCCTAATTGACGACGATCCAAAATTCGAGGGAAATGGTTGAAAAAGAAACGGACTTTGATCCAGGGAATTGGCTTGCGCCACCTTGCGATTATTAGCACCCGACGGATTGCTGCGCACAAAACATTAATTGTTATTCAGATATTTCCGTCAGTCTTTGTATAACACTACTAGGAGTATGTATTTAAACAGTATTTGTCTACGTTCTGCGCTATTCATTTGCTGC